TTACACCACGGTGAATTCCTCCACACTTTCTAGGTATAGCTTAGATGTGGCACAAGGTTGAACTCACTAATCGAATGCATTTAATCTAGGGAGAGAAGCTTGTTCACCACTACACCACACGGAAATGGCCAATGTAAGAACTCATGTGTTGGTTCTAGAGGAATGTCCTGACGTCATAGTTTCCTCGGTGTTATTCATCCCAAAGCTACATCTATTGCAGGGGTTCTCAGTGCCTAATATATGCAATGATGTTTTTTTTTTTTTTTTTTTTGGCATCTGGAACTCCAGTCTGGTGGCTCAAAGCGTTAGTACATAAATTTGGTGATGCAGTAATTGTGAGTTCAATCCCACGGGCCAGGAGTAAAGACTTAGACTCAGTGGAAACAGGGCAAACATTAAAGGAGTAAACGCTATCTGACTTTCTGCAATGAGGAGTTAACAATATTTACATTCGGTCTATGGCCCTTATCTTTGTTTTTGGTGTCATATCGTTTCGGCCGCTTTACCCTCCGGCCTTCCTCAGGTGTATATCAATCTGCGTAACCTCCACGGAATTCTGAATTGAACACTTTGTTTCATCTACGGGGATAGACTGTTCTCGGTCCACTACCCTTTCCGGGGATATCTCCTCTTGAAATTTTGAGATAGCAACAACAAAGACAAAGAGAATAGTCCGATTGTAAGTAGAGTAAAAAGATGAGTATCCTAAAAATCAAGAACGAGATATGCCTAGGCATACATGGATGAACGAGAAAAATTCGAACAATTGTCCTCATCTTTGTTTTTGGTATCAAAACGTTTCGGCCGATTTGCCCTCCGGCCTTCCTCAGGTGTATATCGATCTGCGTAACCTACACGGAATTCTGAACGGAACACTTTATTTAATTTACAGCAATAAACTGTTCTCGTTCCACAGTCCATGTCTAGATATATCTCGTCCTAAAACGTGATGATAGCAACAACAAAGATAAGGACAATAGTCTGAATGTAAATAGTGTAAAAATGAGTAGTCCTTTAAAAAGTAAGAGCATGATATACGTCGGCATACACTGCGGAACGAGAGCAATCGGAATATTGTCCTCATTTTTGTTTTTGGACGTTTCGGCCTTCCTCAGGTGTATATTGATCTGCGTAACCTACACGGACTTCTGAACACTTCATTTAATCTACAGGGATATACTGTTTTCGTTCCACTTCCCATCTCTTGGGATATCTTGTCCTAAAACGTGACATTAAGAACAATGTTAAGGACAATAGTCCGAATGTAAGCAGTGACAAAATGAGTAGTCCTAAAAATTAAAAAAAACGACATTTCCCTAGCATACACCGTGAAGGAGAAAAATCGGACGATTGTCCTCATCTTTGTTTTTCGTATCACAACGTTTCGGTCGTTGTGCTGCGCGGTCTTCCAGGGAATACTGAACTGAACACTTTATTTAATCTACTGAGATAGAATGTTCTCGTCCTACTTCACATGTCCAGGGATATCTCGTCTAAAAACGTTGTTATAGCAACAACAAAGATAGGAACAATCGAATGTATGTAATGTAAAAAATGAGTAACATCCCTAGAAATACACTATGGAACGAGAAAAATTTACCACCGTAGATTATATATATATATATATATATATATATATATATAGAGAGAGAGAGAGATAGAGATAGATAGAAACATAGATAGATAGATAGATAGATAATATTAGTGGTAAATATACACATACATGTGCAATCATATATCTAAAATATATCTAAATATATATACATACATACATACATACACATACGTATATATTTGTATAAAAAATAAATCCAAGAGGATAGAATCCAGGTAGAACTCAATGTCCGGGACAGAGTAAGGATATAAGAAAAAGGCTTAAAAACTAATATTCCATGGTCATAATTTATTTCACTGGAATCGTAAATACGATCCAATTTATCAGACCTACAAATTCAAAAAGAAAACAGCAAAAACAACTCCGGGAATAAAAAATAAAATTTTCTAACGAAAACTTTTATTTTTTATTACCCGTATTTACGATTCAATGGAATAAATTATGACCATGGAATATTAGTGTTTAAGCCTCTTTTACATATATATATATATATATATATATATATATATATATATATATATATATATATAAGTATTCGAAATTACCTGGAGGTTACATGGATCGATAAGCACTTAATAAGAGTCTAGATGGGAACAATCACTGAAAATTGATGATAATAACAGCGAAGATGTGGATATTAGCACGAATGTAAATAATGTTAAAAAATAAAGAATAAAACTTTAAATAAATAAAAGGTAATCTAGAAAAATATTTTAAAAAGGAATGAAAAATTTAGAAGAGCCAGAACAGGCCTAAAATGGAGGGATGTTGCCATATTTGGCAAGAACAGCCCAGATATCACTTTTCAGTCTCGATAGAGTTCAAAAGAATCTCCGAGTCCTTTCTGGAGAAGAAGAATTTTCCACCCTCCAACCTCAATCTCACGGGTGGGATGCATCGAGTCTCTCACTGATCTATTCCTACTACCATGGAAAGTGCTCGAACGAACTGCATCTCCTGATTGCACCAGGTCTGACCTTCACGGCTGGGACCTGTTATGTCACTTACGTAGTGACAAACCGCCCTCATTCCCTTCGTCTTCCATCAGCGAAAAGTAAGTTCCATTCAAACAGCTTCTTCCCGGGAATAACTGCCCTATGGAACAGACTCCCAAGAGGACGTTTCCCCCATTACGACAATCTTAACATGTTTAAGTCTAGAGTCAGCCGTTATCTTCCCTTCGTATCCATAAAAATTACACATCTTAACACTGTACCTCGAGGGGACCCCAGGCCTTATACAGGGTGCACCTTACAGTAAGAAAATCAAACAATGGAGGTGTGATTTGAATTGAGGGCTTTATGTTTGTCTCCAAGTGAACTTATATAAGTTAATCAGAAATCATGAAAGATCTTAGCATTGTAGCAACAAGGAAGTATCGAAATGCATAGGATGACATGTCTTAAATTATCGTAACAATGTACCTTGAGGGGCCCCAGGCCTTGTACGGTGTTAACCTTATTGGAAGAAAATCAAACAATGGAGGTGTGATTTGAATTGAGGGCTTTATGTTTGTCTCCAAGTGAACTTATATAAAGTCAAGCAGAAAACATGTAGACCTTACCATTGTAGCAACAAGTATCGAAACGGAGACATGGTTCTACCGACGAATGCTAAGAATAACATGGACAGAACATGTGTTCAACGAGGAAGTTAAATCAAAATACAAAAAAGCGAAAGGTATCACAGCTCTATCATGGAAAGTTCCCTAACGAACTGCATCCACCAGAACTGACCTTCACGGCTGGGACCGGTCATGCTACTTACGTATTAACAAACCACCCTAATTACCTCCGTATCCCATCGGCGAAAAGTAAGTTCCACTAAACAGCTTCTTCCTGCAAAGCACTGCCCTGTGGAACAGACTCCCAAGAGGATGTTTCCCTGATTACTACAATCTTAACCTGTTCGTATCTAGAGTCAATCTCTATCTTACCTTCCTATCCATATAAACTACCCTTTAACTTAACCCACTACCTCGAGTGGCCCCCGGGCCTTGTATAGTTTGAAACTAATGTAAATAAAAACAAATTAAAAAGTAGGATTATTTCGAAATTCGGAATCAAAATGATCCCACTATCAATGAAAATGAGGCTGTTTTTTATTTTTTTTTTTTTTTTTAACTAGATACGTAACAATGAAGTAAGACAAAATGGACTTACATTTCCCGGTTTTCTTTGTGACGGTGAAAACTTAGAAGTTGTGAGATAAGACATAAGAATATCAACAGGGGGCGGATATACAGTTTGTTTAATTTGAAAGAAATGAGAAAATCTTGAATTACATTAGTTGATAAGCAAAGAAAGATAGACAAGGTGAAAACGAAAATAAAAAATGCTCGATTGATACGTCTAGGAATGAAACAAAGGGAATTATTAAAAGAGAATTATAAGAATGAAATTTGGGAAATAATTGAATAATCGAAAATAAAGTTTTAAAAAATGGACTCAGGAAAAAAATCTGGAAGACGATTAATGAAACAACGTAAGAAAAAAAAATTGTACCGTCAATATTACAAGATCTATCCTTACTAAACATTCTAAACTTGTGGCTTTATGTCATTATAAGTAAAGGCTATCCTGTTTGCTTTATGTCATTATAAGTAAAGGCTATCCTGTTTGCCTGTTCATGCATATTTGCGTTTGTTCTGTGATTTATACTTCAACTGTGTTGAACGAACCTTAGTTTCTCGGAGAGAATTCATTATCTGGCGTGATCAACAGTATGAACAAGGCCAGTGCATTCAAACCCTCAGTCACGATGAGTTACGACTTCGAGATAGCTTCACCATCGACGCCTCACAAATAGTTCTCTCAGCCCAATTTCAATCACAAGTCTTGGGTCAGTCTGTGCTACGGTTTTCAGACACTTTCCAAAACTAACGCGCACTGGGATCGCCTCTACAGGGTAACATCAAGAAGGTACCTTGACGAATCGACCATGGTGAGATTCATTCCAGAAAACGAACGTTCAAACTACTCGACCACTTAGTTATTGAATATCGATGAGCATCTCAACTTGATGCCATGGGTATCACTCCTTTCTAGAAGAAGATTACTACTGTAGTGAGGTAGATGCACTTGACGTACTCCCTTCTGTTTGCTTTCTTTCATAAAAATAGTTGATTTGTACCTTTTTTACATATTATCAACTCTTTACACGTTATTTAAAGTCAGAAAATATTTTTACATTTCATTATAGGTAAAAATGATTTAGCGATATTTCATATTAATTAACCCATAGCTGGGAGGAGAAAAGGTTGTTTATTACCGTCCCCAAGATTTTTTGCGCGTAAGTGAATATAACGAACTCAGCTGGAATTGGAAATCGGCACTCCGATTACAAATTTCGAGCCATTATCCATTACACTACCTGCACATCTGAACTTACAACACCTGGTATTCACAGGTGCTCACCCATCGAGGCACTGCCGAGGCTCGAATTTGCTTAAGTTTGGTGATCGTACGGGAACCGGTGTTGCAACGTGATGCAGCCGTAAACATTGTATGAACACGAACAAACAGGAGGATGTATGTAGTGATGGTTGACCTCACTACAGCAGTGATAGTTTTCGAGAAATAATTAATGAACATGGATCAAGGGTGAGATAATATTAACTAAGTATCAAACAAGGCTACATTTGTTGAGCATTCAGTAAAGATTTCTCTATTGATAATGTTGAAATTTAATAGTAGCTTCATGAAAATTTTTTTCTGAAATAAGGTGTCTATTGTTACATTGACATTTTATGTAAAAGTGTTTGTTGAAGGAAGGGCGAGACAAGATATAGTCTACTGTAAGAAAATTGTTAGAACTATACAAGAAAGAAACGAAAAGCAAGCAGAAACCATGAAAAGGTCATCAGCAAGATTAATACTCCAAGACACAAGCTACGAAAATGTAACACCAAAATTCGAAGATATATTAGAATAACAAAAGATGCCCTCCAGAAACTAAACAAAGTATTAAGAAACAGGAAAATTTCTTAGAAACAAAGAAAAGAGTAATGATTTTAGTTGTAATATCTATACTTCTCTTTGGTAGTGAATGCTGAACATTTTCCTCATAAAAGAATTGATGACTTTGAGGTAAAAAACGTGGCCCTACAGAACGATGTTGAGGATGCTAGGGCAGAACAGGTAAGCAATAAGGGAGTTTTTAGGAAAACACTTATACTTAGAATCAGAAAGTTTTGATTTGATGTGTTTGTTTAACGGCATATCAACTCCTTATGGGTCATTTAATGCCGGCCATCCTGGGTATGATAATAAACTACATCCGGCAGCAAGTCCTCTGATTGGGAGGTTTTGAAGAGCATGGAACCAGTAATTAATTGCTGTTGTTTTCACGTTCACCCTGACCCGAGGGGTAGCACCTGTTAGGGTCCTCGATATCGTAAAATAGTTAACTCCTAAACTAAGATCAAAACACTATGAAAATATAAAAATAGATATTTGTAGTAAAATATATATAAAAAAAAAATACAAGCAATACATTTTTATGAAAAAAATAAAATACTACTGCTTCTCCAAAAATTACATTTCGGAATTTAAATGATTCATAAGATGTCGATATGTTATTCTGCTTCCACAATTGAGTGCATGGTAGATGATACTCAGCTTTTGTGCGTATACATGTTTGTCTAGACATAATCACTAGAGTTCCCTTCTATTCTATACTTCCAACGACTTCGCCTAAACTCTGAAATTTTATTTACTCTTTATTTATTTATTTATTTTTCCTCAATAGGACTAAATAGGTTGACCTATCGTCCGGTTCACACTCCTCTCCAGTCTTTTGAACAAGAGTAGATGTTTATCCGTTGATTTCTGTTTAGGACTGTATTTCCAGTTACTTTTACTTCAACGCTATACGTCTGACCACTCGGGCTAAATAATATCTATTATTTATTTACATGCAGACTATATCCTTCAACAAACACTTTTAAATGCAATGTCAATCGTTATCTACTGTCTTCTTGATTACTCTTCTATTGTTCTCGCTGTTTCTCTTTTTTCTTATTCTTTCAGACTCGGTATCAGCTAGTGTCTTAGTGACTTTACTACCTTGCGTGGGGTGAAATGATTAGAAAACAAATTTAAATGCAATGTCAATCGTTATCTACTGTCTTCTTGCTTACTCTTCTATTGTTCTCGCTCCTGAATAATGCTCATCTTTTTTCTTATTCTTTCACACTCAGTAGCCCCTCGTGTTTTAGTGCTTTTACTGTCTTGCATGCAGCGAAATGATTAGGAAACTTAAATGCAATGTCAATCGTTATTTATTGTCCTCCTCCCGCTCATTATTAATGTTTCTGTTCCTAATTCTTCCACGCACTGTAACGCTTTGTGTCTTACTGACTTAACTGACGTTCATGGAGTGATAACGTTTAAAGTAAAAGATAAATAGCCAAAAACGAGCTCTCAACAACTTGGCTTCTCTGTGATTGCATAGGCGTGTGGATGAAACCTCCGACAGCGGGCAGAGCACACGGTACTTCTCTTTTCCAATACTATGGACGAATGCAAAAAAATACAAAAACAATACAAACAACAACAACAAAAACAACAACAACGGCAATAATAATAATAATAATAATAATAATAATAATAATAGTAATAATAATAATATGGCAGTCCCTGCTGACTGCAATATGTCTTTGAAGATATTCAAAAAGCTGTCAAGCTACAAGGACCTTGAAATAGAAATCTCGAAAATGTGGCATATGGGAACATCAACAATCCCTGTTGTAGTTGGAGCCCTAGGACTGGTTGGAAAAGATTGCAGTAGACTAATTGAAGGGATTCCTGGAAGTCCATGCCTCAAGGAGATACAAAAAATTGTTCTGACAAGTACAGCCCACACTTTACGAAGGGTTTTATCTATGTATTTTTTTTTTTTTTTTTTTTGTCAGTGGAAAGTGTCATGATGCCATTTCTAACCTTAGGTCCCTGGGCGGGACCCGGAAAGAAATGTGTAAACGCCAGAAATCAAAGAAAATAAAAATAATAATAATAATAATAATAATAATTTTTTTTTTTAACTCATATTTCAATTCCCCCCGCCGAACTTAAGGGGACATCCGTGTGCATTTTTCACTTTTATTTATTTATTTTTTTTTCTTTTTCTCTTACTTTAGGCATCCCATGTCTCTGTCGTTGTGTATATGTGTACATGTTTACTAATATCTATCTATCTGTCTGTCTGTCTGTCTCTCTCTCTCTCTCTCTCTCCCTTGTATATATATATATATATATATATATATATGTATACGTATATAATTTACATGTGTATGTATCCGCATTGACAGGGATCATATTGTTTTGTTTTTTTTCAAGTCTATATACCAAAATCTATTTATCCCACTTGGAGTGGTCAAATCGAGTTATAGTAAGTTAAAACTTAGTATAGTCTACAAAACTTAGTATAATCTACCCCACTGAATACCATACACTCTTATGAACTATTCTACTAGGGTTATATTATTAAATCCACAATCTCATTGTTTGGGCGTGCTCTTGGATCTTCTTCGAGACTCGTCCTATAGCTGGTAACCTGAACATAATTACCCCTCGGCGGTCAAGGTTAAAACGCATCTCTACCAATTTCAATGAATACGAATAATATTTCATACCGGATCGGTCGTCAACCGGGACAACAAGTGCCGCGTCCCTCAGAGAGGAACCAGTCTGGATACGAAAAGTCTGCCACTGGAACAAACTCTTCCACACACGAAAAGACACTTGGTCACCAAGTGACTCAATACCAAATCTACTAATAAAAAGTAAACGAACGAAATGGAGCCGCGAAGAGTATCGACAAGTCATGACATCCTTCTTCACTGCACTCGAAAATCCAGCAAAGAACACCACCAATCAAACATACCAAATATGGAGAAGTACGGTGGGAAATGATATAAGACCTAACCTCAATCCAAACATGCTTGCCAATGTCCGTAGGGACATCATGCGAAACAACAGACTCTCAAAGGCAGAAATAGATAAGATAAAATTAGATATAAGACAAAATACTATGACCCATCACTCAAACTCTATTGAGACGAATGTAGAAATAAGGAATGCAACAGAGGATGAGGTGGACGCTAAAGCGAATGAAATACAAAATAATCTCCCAGGAAATGAAACCCAAGACTGCCTTAAACACAACCTACAGTCCTCCAGAAACTGTACCTGGAGTCATCTTCAGTGACAATAAGTTAGAATTCATGGAAAACCACGAAGCTGAAATCACCGAAGCGAAAAATGACGTCATCCAAGTACTCAGCAGAGTAACTTTCATACAATTGTCAGACAGAGACCAGCTCCCGAAAATCCATATGACGAACTCCAACAAGCACATCGTGAAAATATACAATGCTGCTCTGGAAACACTGTTAACAGATAAACCACTGGGAAACATCACAGAAGTTAACAACGTCATATACGCAACAGCTTTAGCAGCGACTCGGAAGCTTGGAGTCAAGACAATAAATAAAATTAACAGACACAGAGAACCAGCTTGGAAAACCAAACTGATTCGAGAAATAAAACAAATCAGATGTGAGCTTTCTATATTAGATGAATTCACCAGAAACCCTAATATTTCCACACGTAAATTCAAAAAGATCAAGCGGAAATATAACATTAAATCCTTAATTGATATTCCATCAATCAAGAAAATGCTGAAGCAGAAACTTCAGCTAAAGGCGCAGAGAACAAGATGATACGAGAAAAGTTGTAGGTTCTATCGCCAAAATAAAATATTCCGAACAGATCTTAAGAAATTTTACAGGGAAATTGGAAAAACACCTATACATGTCGAAAGGCCACCATCGATTGATAATGTACAGACATTTTGGGAAAATATCTGGAGCAGCCCAAAGGAATATAACCCAAATGCAGAGTGGATACGGCGTGAAGAAGAACGAATGCTGGATACACCTCTGCAAGAATGGGAAAATATATCCACAGATGATGTTAGGCAAGCTCTAACGAAATCCCCAAAATGGAAATCCCCAGGAAGTGACAAGTTGCCCAATTTCTGGCTGTATCATCTCACATCTACCCATGAAATTCTTGCAAAAACATTATCAACGCTTGTAAATAATCCCAATAAAATCCCGGAATGGATTACTGAAGGTATTACACACCTCATACCAAAAACAACTGAAACAGACGACCCGAAAAATTATAGACCGATAACATGTCTCTCCACAACGTATAAGTTGATCACGTCTGTACTGACGAACCGTACTTATTCCTTTCTCGAAACAAACAGCATTCTCCCGCTGGAACAGAGGGGATGCAGAAGTGGTTCATATGGCTGCAAAGATCAACTTCTGATAAATAAAATGATCCTGGAAAATTGCAGGAGACGACGCAGGAATCTAAGTGCAGCGTGGATTGATTATCGTAAAGCCTTTGATAGTGCTCCACATTCTTGGATCCTTAAGACTTTGGAAATGTACAAAGTCTTCCCTGTGGTATTAAATTTCCTTAAGCACAGCATGGGAATGTGGAACACCAAACTATACCTTAGTCACACCGAGGGCACTGCCATATCCAACCGTCTGAATATCCGACGTGGAATCTTTCAAGGAGACTCTCTGTCACCCCTTCTGTTTTGTTTATCCTTAATCCCTCTTACACATGAACTGAACAACAGTAGCTATGGTAACAAAATGGTTACAAAGATTAGGGAACTGGAGCATGGTGAAGCTTATAAGTACCTAGGAATTAGCGAAGGAGATGGCATACAACACCCCCAAATGAAGTACTGGTACTAAATACTGAGCTAAATTAGCCATAAACACATTGGCTGTCCCTGTGGTGCAATACAGCTTTAATGTCCTTAACTGGACCATAGCTGAAATTAAGCGAATGGACGCCAAAACGAGAAAGCTTCTCACTTGCTATCGCATGCATCATCCCAAAGCTGATGTTGATCGTCTGTATGTGCCCAGATCCGAAGGAGGCAGAGGATTAGTTCAACTAGAACTGTCCTACAAAACTACAACAATTGGCCTCCAAAGATATTTGGAAACTACAGAAGACTGGATGATGGTATGCGTCAAGGAACATGAAAGTGGTAAGCGTCTTTACTCCGTAATGAAAGAAGCCAACAAATTCAAAATGGAGTTTCAAATGGGCGTAGAGATGCAACTACAGCACAATACACCAACTGAACCTGCAAAATACCTAAAAAATGACAGCAAAGATGAATGCAACCGACCAGTTACAGAAGCGATGGCAAGATAAACCGCTTCATGGCCAATACTCTGCCCGTACCAAACAAGCTGACGTAGACAAAACCCGTACCCATCAGTGGCTACGTAGTGCAGGGTTGAAAGCGGAAACTGAAGGTTTTATCCTTGCTGCGCAGGACCAATGCTTGCTAACTAGGAATTATCAAGCACATATACTAAAATATTGTGTCAGCCCAAAATGCAGATTCTGTGATAAATATCCAGAAACGATTGATCATCTTGTATCACGTTGTACGGTGTTGGCACCCACTGAATATAAAACCCGACATGACAGAGTGGGCCAATATCTGCACTGGAAAATCTGCAACTTCTACGGGAAGGAAACTGAAAGAAACTGGTATGAACGACACCCAGACCTGGTTACGGAGATAGGACCTGTTACAATTCTATGGGATTACACAATACACACTGACAGAACAATCAAGGCCAACCGGCCAGATATTGTTATTAAAGACCACAAACAAAAACGGTGCCTCCTTATTGATATGGCAGTCCCTGCTGACTGCAATGTATCTTTGAAGATATTCAAAAAGTTGTCAAAGTACAAGGACCTTGAAATAGAAATCTCGAAAATGTGGCATATGGGAACATCAACAATCCCTGTTGTAGTTGGAGCCCTAGGACTGGTTGGAAAAGATTGCAGTAGACTAATTGAAGGGATTCCTGGAAATCCATGCCTCAAAGAGATACAAAAAATTGTTCTGACAAGTACAGCCCACACCTTACGAAGGGTTTTATCTATGTAATTTAATTTTTTTTTTTTTTTGTCAGTGGAAAGTGTCATGACGCCATTTCTAACCTTAGGTCCCTGGGCGGGACCCGGAAAGAAATGTGTGAACGCCAGAAATCAAAAATAATAATAATAATAATAATAATAATAATAATAATAATAATAATAATATACAGAGAAAAGGCTCGAAACACAATGATAATTGATAACTTTTCGAGTACTACGTAATGAAAGGGTAGAAAGAAAAATACTTCTCAAATAATTTACCCGCCTATTTTTTTTTAAATATTCTGCAGAAACTTTTACTATATTTCTTGCCTATTCTCTACATTTATTCATTTGTTTCTTTTCGAATTTATATTTCAGTTTCTTTCATATTCATTGTTCGCGTCATTTGAACCGTTGATGTGATGTGCGCATGCTCAGACTCGCAAGTCAGAGAAGGCAGTTTTTAAAGATAAAACCAGTACCAATCTATTCGTGAAATAGATGGTAATCATGGAGAATGTGAAATCTAACGTTTAGGGAAATATTCTAGAAAGGAGGAGAGTGACAGATAGAATTGTTTTGATATGAGGGTGCGACAAAGTATAAAGAAAGGGTGAATGAATTAGTGTAAGAATGAAACAAACACAAAAGAAAGGGAGAAACAAACAACGAAAGAAAATGTAAGAAAAATAAATGAATGTCTTAAAGAGAAAGACAGAAAAGAAATTAACCTTTTAGAGAAGAAAGGAACAAAGATTTATATTATAAAAGAAAGAAAGAAAGAAAAATAAGAAAGTCCTGATTTGAAGAGGGGATATAACGTGAATGAAAAATGAATTTGTTAAGATGAAGAAAGAAAAAAGAAAGAAAGAAAGAAAAAGAAAAATTAAAGGAAATTGAAAAAAGAAAGATTAAAAAAACAATGAAGAAAGAAAGTTTAAAGAAAAAAATGGAAGAAAGAAAGTATGAATGAAAGAAATCAATGACAAAAGAAAGAAAGAAAGAAAGAAAGAAAAAAGAAAGAAAAAAAAGAAAGAAAGTTCTGCATTGAAGAGGGAATACAATGTGAAAGAAAAATGAATTTTTTGAAGTAGAAGTAAAGAAAGAAAAAAGATTAAAGAAAGAAGGAAAGAAAGAATGCAGGAAGGAAATCGATTGGAAAAGAAAGAACGAAAGAACGAATGAATGAAAGAAAAAAGAATGAATGAAAGAAATGGATTAGAAAGAAAGAAAGAAAGAAAGAAAGAAAGAAAGAAAGAAAAGGAAACTCCTGCTTAGAAGAGGGAATATAAATTGAAAGAAAAATTGTTATTTTTTTCGGGAAGAAAGAAAAAAGAAAGATTAAAGAATGACTAAATAAAGTAGGGAAGAAAAAAAGAAAAATATATATATATAAATATATATATATAAATAAAGAAAAAAAATCGACTGCAAAAAAAAAGATTAAAAGGGAAACTCCTGTTTTGCCGATGGAAGATAAACTGAAAGAAAACAAATAATCTTTTAGACTAAAGAAAGAAAGATAAACAGAAAGCGATTATAAAATAAATAAATTAAGAAAATTTAAACAAAAACGTAAGAAAGGAATAAAAAGGAAATGAATAAAAGAAAGAAAGAAGGAAAGAAAATGTAAGAAAGAAATATCAGTCTTAAAGAAAAAGAGACAAAAAAGAAATCAGTCACGTAGAGATGAACGAAAAGACACTCATGTTATCAGAGAAAGAAACAAAAAAAATTGAATACCATCCTTTGAAAAAGAAAGAAAAATATTTTTTTATCAAGGTAATGGTAATGGTAATATTAACCATTTTTTATTAACCAAACATTTGGCATTCTTGGACCGAGCATTCTTGGACCGAGCATTCTTGGATTGTTTTCGGTTGAAATTTATAAATTCTTTCTCTTAAAAAAGATTCTTTATAGGAAAATAATTTTCTCAAATCTGTAGTTGTTATCGTTCTTTTTCCAGAATTGATGAGGTTTTCCTTCCGAACCTTTTGTTTGAAGTGGCGTGGAATGTCAACATTTGGTTATGTCATAATTGACTCTTCAATTTACATCTGCAATCCATTTTAGTTTTTGCTGATGTTGGTAGTCCTCATGAAGAAGTGGTTCTACAGATGGATGTTGAGGATACCATGTACCGAATATTTGAGAAATGACAAAGGTTTAATGTAAATGTAAAGAAAAAAATTACATTTAACATCAGCAAGAGAGAGCTGAAATTTCTAGGGCACATAATGAGGAAAAATACTTGTAAAATCTGATACAGGGCAGATTGAAGGCAAAAGAGACAGAGTCAAACAACGCATAATATACCTATGGAGATTGAGTAAATGGTGGTAGAACAGAGTTTGGAAGAAATAAGACAAACTTTATTGCGGGCTACAAAGGACAGGAAATCGTGGAGAGCGATGATCGCCCACGTCCTGTGGAGACAAGGTGCATAAAGAAGAAAAAAATTGGATATTGAAAAAACAAAACAAAAAAAAACATCTGTACAGCTATTCACGATTCTTTCTTTTTATTTTAGATGAGAATAATAAGTAATTAAAAATATTGAAGATGCAAATTCGATTATTTGGCAAAATGGACAACGGAATCTTTCATCGATTATGGAATTGAAAAATCACTGAAAATGAAAAAAAAAATATTGATCGATAATAAATTAATTCGGGGATTAACACGGATTATGAAAGCATAAATAATTTGTAATCCGCACTTTGTTTCTGGTCTTTGCCTTTGGGCTGGTGGTCAGCAGATACACGGTTTGATTGGATATTCTACCTTATTTAAGTTTCGCTACAGCAATCACGTCTCTGTACATATTCTTTTACTTGCTATCTTATTTATTATGCATTCTTATTTCTTGTGCTATTTTATTTATGCTATTTTATTTATTTATGCTACCTTTATTATGCTGTCTTATTTATTATGCTTATCTTTTCTATTGTACTGTCTTATTTATTATGCTATTTTATTTATTATGCTATCTTATTTATAATGTTATCTTTTCTATTATGCTGTTTTATTTATTATGCTACATTATTGATTTGCTATCTTATTTAACATTCTGTCTTATTTATTATGCACGCCGTGATAAAAGATAGTGAAAGATGGATATACAATGTGATGGCTCCTGATCTGGCATCTCGCTTACAGTCACTTTCTTATAGAGCGGCCGTGTTCCTTGTCTCTTTCCTCTATGTATTTTCACGACAACAGCTTCACTGGTTCCCAAACTGCATGACTTTAAGCGTGCTCCTAGATTGGCTTCTCGGTCCTACCTTTCACAGTCGAAACGGTTACATGTAGCCACCCCTTCTATTCCAATATCTTCTTGTCTCGCACTTCCCGTCTGTGAAATTCCCTTCTTCTTACTTGCTTCCCTGATAGCTATAATCTTCAAATATTCAAATGTAATGTCAATCTACATATTGTTCCTCGCCCTTCAATTCGTCATTTCCTCAAACACGCCTCTTTACTCTTGCTCTCAATCCTCTGTAACCCCTTGCGTGCTGGTGGCACTTCCGCCTTACTTGGGGTGAAATGCTTTAAAAAATGTGTTTTCCTCGTCGTTTTCTTTTTCTAAGGTTTACACCAAACAAGTCTAGGAAACCCGCTCAACTTTGCTATTTACCGCAAATCTGGTGTGTTTTTTGTTTTTGTTATTTTTTTTGTTTTTTTTTACTAATGTTTCTTTTATGAGATCATAGCCCTCCACATCTTCCTGACCCTTCTAGCCCTTAATAAGTTTTGTTATCCAAAACGTCTTCCCTAATCCATTTACTCAAGCTCATCAAGTATGTCACACGCTGCTTCCCTCTTTCCCCCTTTCCCTAAATCTGTTCCTGTGAGCATCAAATTTTCCAAGCCCTCCTTCCTCATTACGTTTCTCATAAAATTAAACTGCTCTTACTGATGTTAAGTATAATTTTACTTTTTGTTTACATTTTCTTTAAAATCTCTTCGTTAGTCACATGTTTGGTCTATGGTATCCTCAGCATCTTTCTGTAGAACACATTTCTTTTGCTTCAAATCTCTACTTCATCTGTGATGAGGTTGTCCAGAATTCATTGCCCTATAGGAGGACAGATATCACGTAATAGTTCAGTCGAAGATAGAAAAGTAATCAAAAAGACACTAGGTAACGTTTTGACATTGAATTTAAATTAGTTTTTTTTATTATTTCACTCCATGTAAGGCAGTAAAGCCACTAAGACACAAGGAGTTATGGTGGTGTGGAAGAATTAGGAACAGAAACATTAATTATGAGCGGTAACAGGAAAGAGTAATCAGGATGGCAGTAGATAGTGATTGATATTGCATTTAATTTTTTTCAGATTAGAGTTGGCTAGCAAGGATGGAGCTAGAAGTTAGTTCCACAAGCGAGAAGTGCGAGAAAAGAAATGGTTAGAATAGAACTACATCCAGGAGCGAGAACAATAGAAGAGTAATCAAGAAAACCGTAGATAACGATTGACATTGCATTTCAATTTGTTTTCTAATCATTTCACCCCATTCAAGACAGTAAAGTCCCTAAGACACAAATTTTTCTGAGTGTGAAAGAATAAGAAAAAAGAGAAAGATTATTAAGGAACAGGAACAATAGATGAGTAAGGAAGAAGACAGTAGATAAAGATTGACATTGCATTTAAATTTGTTTTTTTAATCATTTCACCCCATGCAAGGCAGTAAAGCCACTAAGACTCAAAGGGCTATTGAGCGAGAAAGAATAAGAAAAAAAGAGAAACTTTATTAAAGAACGAGAACAATAGAAGAGTTATCAGGAATACGCGGGATAACAATTGACATGTCATTTAAATTTTTGAATATCAGACTTGACTGGAAACCAAAAATCCGGAGAGAGTTCCACGAGCGAGGAGTGTGAGAAAATAAACTCTTATAGAATTTATGGCTACATCTATCCATTGCAACTATAAAATAATGAGATCTTATCTCCAATCTAGTACAAGTCTAGATTCCATAGCAATGAGCTCATTCGGCGGTGGAAAATGAGTGAAGCCTAGATGCCAGGTTAGGACCAATGATATTGCTGATTCGTCTTTGGATTTTACCAAGCTACTCTAAATATATAGCAAAAGCAACGAGCTGGTTGATGAGTGGCAACAAATCATTGAAAATATTGGTGAATATGTGATTGGAATAAAATGTAATTGTCTTTTATTTTCTGAAGAATAAATTCGATAAACAATACAGAAATTATTTCTGAGTCAAACTAATAATTAAATGATACAAGGTTCATTTATTTTCAGTAAAACGGCAAGTATGTTTATCGTTCCTCAATCAGGACATTGCTGGATTACCGACCCTGATTACACTCACAGCGGCACGATTTTGAATTACACCCCCACCACCCGCGCCACCTTTCCCAGTGACTTTTCACAGCCAAAAGACGTATTATTTTCCCTCCCGCCTACACGTAAGTTCCTCATCTACAGACACTGAAAGACACTGTTAATATTTAATTTCCTTTCTAATTTTTCTTTTTGTAAAATGTCTTGTTAATATAAATGGTGTTCCAATAACTTGGACCGATTTTAAATGTGAATTAAGTTTAAACGTCTAATTTTTTTTTTCTCTTTTTCTTTCACACTAAACAACTTAAGTCTTTGGCAATTTCAGCCATGGAAAGATTAACAATCAAACTACGTGTTAAAGTTATCGAAGCTTATTATGAAAATGGACGTTCAAACAGAAATGCAATGAGAATTTCCCAGGTCGAATCATCTCTCGAAACAGCGAAGTCAATTGGCCACCACGATCGTGCGACTTGACGCCTTTAGATTTCTTCCTTTAGGGTCACCACAAAAGTAAAGTCTATGCCAACAAGTCAACAACAATTCAACAGATGAAGGATGAGATAATAAGGCATATTGGTGAGATTGAGGAGCAACTATGCAGAGACGTCATCAACAATTTTCACCATCGAGTAGAGGTGTGCCGCCGAAGCCTTAGCGGACATTTGGGTGATATTTTTCACACATAATTGGCATGACTTAATGTTATGCCATAGTACCTATTCTTTGGTAATGGACTCTCCCATAGATAATAAGTAGGAGTAGCAGTGGCAAGTCTGGCAGAATGGTGTTGAGCGGTCTTTGACTGCGAACGCCTCCTGTCGAACTCTCTGCGTTAGCAGAGAGGAACCCGGACGAGGCTTTGCCGAAGGGCAAGGTTTCGTCCGGGGAGGTAGACAGGGCCTGAACCCGTCTAATCGGCTTCAAAAGGCTATTTTTTTGGCCGAGCCTACGGGCTCGGGGAAACCCACATAAAAAACCGGCCTTGTGCCATATTCTTTTCCGTGGGTGAAAAGATAAATACCGAATGGTGTTGAGCGCGTCAGTCGAGATTCGGACATTTGAAGTACCAACCATCACAACTAGATTGCTGCGCCATTGACTCTTATTTTCCAAGTTCCTAACGTTTTGTACGTTGGACCTAATTTAGGACGACTTATTAGAAATACAAGCCTCCACTGTGAAAATACTCCACAACACTTAAATAACCTGATCCAATAGAGAAATAAATAAAATTTCACCAATAACACTGATTTATTTACTGCTGACTTTGATCCGTCTTAATGAAACACCCTTTATTTGTTAATATTTATTTATTTAAATTCTATGACTTTTTTTTTCCTTTGGACTCACACGCGTTGTTTACGGGTCAAATGCACCAGGTGCATTAAAAAATCGTAATAAAGGTATTGATACCCGCAAAAA